GCTTAAAACCAAAAACAATAGCCTTTTGCGAGCAATAGTTAAAGCTTGCAGAAGCAAGAAAATACAACTAGAGTTGACTAAAGTAAAGGTGCACTCAGGTGACCTATATAATAATATAGCAGATCAGCTAGCAAAAGAAGGTGCAAATAGAGATATAACACTAGAAGTCAACAATGTCAGTATCAAAAATATTAAGTTCATTCCAGAGTGGGAAGGTTGCAAACTAGATACACCACTAAGAATATTTGTTAAGAATTTAGTTCAAACAACATACAAAGCAGAATGGACTTGATTAAAGAAAAAAAATGATATTTGGTATCAGTATCGTCTCAAAAGCCAAAATTAGAAAGTATTCAAAGGCTTGTTAAGAAGCTGTTATAAGCAGTAAAGTAGAAGTATGAAAGCAAATTACTTATATATATTTAAAGTAAAGTGTATCGAAAATTTACTTCCTACTGTCAAAGCATTAAATAATAGAAAACTGGATATATACAAAGACAGCGTATGCAAAAGGTGTTTTATTAGGCCAGAATCTGACGAGCATATTATTTGCTGTGAAAAGGTACAAGATGTACTAACTAAAATAAGTAAAGAAGTTTGGAAAAAAATAAAAGATGACAAGAGAAGAGATGAAAGTTATGATCTCTATAAGCTAACGCAGATCATAACAAAGTCATCTAAAAAAGAAAAACAAACTCAAAACATCGAATAGCTGCGTAGAATCCTAAATGAAAATACTGCTAGAAAATTAAAAGAAGAAATTGGTACAGAGAAATCTACTATAAAATTTTGGTATATGTTCTGGAATCTATGGATAGAACAAGTATACTTAGAAGTCTGGATACCAAGATGCACAGACATAAATAATTGGGAAAAAGAGGAAGAAATATCACCGAAAGATAAGAAAACTAGCAAAATAAGGAAAACAAGAGAAAAGAATAAGGAAAAGAAGACAAACAAAGCAAGCCAAAATATGCTTGATGAAGAACAAGTAGATGAGAACAGTAGAGTATTTAGTTTAGACTTTAAAATAGCGAAAGATAGTTTGTTAGAAGGAATTGTAAAAGGAGAAAAAGGTTTATGAATATAATTAGCAAACATAATAGGCTGTGGTATCCTTCCTTCGAGGTATTTTTAGGTACTCTTTCTTGGAGTCCAAAAGTAAAGAGGTCAAAGATCACTATAGCAGATCGCACTTAGGTACTATAATGGTAACTGAGTAAGTTAATACTTAGCAATAGTCACTAGATAGTAATATATACTAGATAGAAATGTTTTAGTCATAGATTAAAATTATTGATTAAATAAAGTATTAGCATGATTGCTGAAAAAAAAAAAAAAAAAATAGATATATATTAAAAAAATAATAAAAATTTAGTATAAATCTAGATATATAAAAATATATATATAGAAGTATTAAAAATATAAAATTTGTAGTATAGTAAGTTATATCAGTTTTTAAAACTTTTTTTTAACTTTAATTAAAAATATTTTAACAATTTTTTAAATAAATATAAAAAAATTTTTTTAGTTAAATTCTAATATTCTAAGAATTTTAATAAAAAAATTATTATTAAATTTTCATTATATTTAAAATTTTTTAATCTTTAATCAAAAATATCTAACAATCTTCTAATTAAATCTAATAAATTTTCTTATATTTAGATTCTATAGATTTAAAGAATTTAATAAAAAAATTTTTATAGAATTTGATTAAGTAGTTATTAAAATATTTTAAATTAATAATCTATTAATTTTTTTGTTTATATTATAGAGTTCTAAAAATTCAAATTTAAGATCTAATAATCTTAATATAGTAGTTAAATCACTAGACTACTATACAATAAATCTAAGGTTTAAATTCTATTATTGATAAATTTGAATAATTAGTTAGATCTTGTATTTAACTTATTGTAACTCTGCTTGTTTTTGAAGTGATAATCTTGTAAATAAAATCAATTAGATAAAGGTTAGAAAAATTTCTATACTTTAATTAAATGTATCTTAACTATCTAATCAAATTTGATAAATTTTTTATTTAAATTCTTAGAATTCATAAAATTTAAATAAAAAAACATTAAATTTTTTAAGTAATTGTCAAGATATCTTCAATCAAAATTATAAAAAAAGTTTAAAAACTGATATAAACTTGCTATGCTAATAAGACCAATAAAATTTTATATATACTATGATATTAAACATAATCTAAAAAATTGTGATTGTTTTAATTTTCACATTATACATAATCTTAAATTCTGATTAGTTAGTGATATATTGCATAAGTAATAAATTACAATATACCCTTATTAAATTTTATTGTAACTTTAAACACATACTAATCATATAGACAAAAATTTATAATTTCTGTAATTATTTGGATTAAATGATGAGATTAAATAGAATCTAAGCCAATATGATGTGATTACTAAGATTAAAAATGATGATTTTATTAGTAATTATAAAATTACTTATTAATCGCTTATGAGTTAATTGTGTTTTTATAAGTAGTAATCTGAACAGATTAACTAAAATAACCCTGAATTTGATCAACTTCAGATCATTGAGCCTAGCTGTTTATGAGTATCACTTTGTTATCACCTAATTTCAATAATTAACTGCTTATATGTGTCATATCATTATGAAGTGCCCCAGTACATATTATATAATTTGTAGTTAGTAATGCATATATACATGTGTGCCATCTTAATAAAAAAAGTAATTACGGCATTTAGGCAGCCGAAATTAGTCTTATATAGTGCTGAAATTAATTTTCATATATGCCGAAATTATTGCCGAAATTTTTTGTACTCTTTTCATCAAAATACATCATATAGTATAGTTATTTCGGAGAGTTTCATATAAAAAATTTAGTAATGCCGAAATGTTTGCCGAAAATACTTTTTTTCAAAAATAATTTAGGCACACATGTATAAATGCATATAACTGGATTATCTGAACAATCTCAGATCTAATAAATATGAGAATAACGATTCTAGAAGAACCAAGCTTTGACTGCTATAAACGATAAACTGTATAGCCATTACTATCATTCGGTGGAGTACCTAAAAGATACTTCGGTCTCCTGTTTGTGCCAAGTGAATGTAAACGAATAACAAAAGACCCCAAGTGTGCTGGTATGTTTTCCGTAAATTTCTGAAATCAAAATGTCATGTAAAAATTTTACCATGTAATAGTTAGTGTTGATGGCTATTTATATTCAGTGTCATAATGGTATGCTACAATACGGATCAGAATAAAATGATGCGCCAAACTTTTATAATATCAGTACTTGAGACATATAATGATAAAATGAGTGCCAAAATTAAAAACAAGGAAGTGAGTTAAGTTTCATTGCATTGGACTTACACCTTGAAAAATTATAATAATATGATACATAAATATACTATCATAGTTCTTATTATTTCAAAAATGCAATAACATAGATACAGTATTATCGTTATTAGTTATAAAGTGAAGTACGTAACCAAAATAATGCGTACGTATACAGTAATCGAATGACAGATCACTGATGCTCCAATTACGTAAATTACAACTATTCTGAGGTAAGTTCGATACAGTGAAAAGTTAAATATTCAAATCCAGGTTTTAACTTGGCAACCAATTTACATGAACGTTGAAATTGTAATTTTCATAACAAATTTTAACTGTATACTTCCCCTAAAATTACAGCCAATTTAAACATACATCAATTATAAGTTGATTAGTTCACGTACTTTAATAATAATACACAACTTTATTTTTCGTTTTAAGCACGATACCATGTGTTAACGTCCTATATCGCATAAAAAATTTATCAATTTCAAAATCAAGATTTTGGCAACAACGATTCATTATCATCAAGTCTAACACCTGCCAAAATTTTTGACTTGAAATTAAAATCTCTTTCTTCCGGGCAACAATTACAGAAATATGCAAATATACTAAATACTAACAAAATGGTATATAGCCACATTGCTAAAAAGTTGAGTGTACTGATTACACATGCTTTATGAACATCTACGGAATTTTTTTCTGGAACTGGACAAAATAAAGATACATCTCCAATATTACCAACGGTGTAATGCGTGTAGACAACTTCATATTTAATAAGTAATGGGATATTTGAGGATATATGAAAGTATAATTGAAACCATATTTTAAAATTAACGGATTATAATAATTAATAACTTGAAAATTCAGGTATAACTTACTTGAAATTACAATCATGTATAACGGTACAAAGCTAAAATAAAATGAAAATAATAAATGAATGCCAGAATTAAGAAATATATCCATTTAAAATAATTAAATACCATAATTCTTCTATTATTTTATTCTTTATAATATCCACACTACAATGACGATTTAATATACCCAACCATATCAAGCCAACTAAAAATATTAAATATTAGCATAATGTCTCAACGAATGGAATTAGAATAGCAATCCCCATGATCCTGTATAGTGATCAGGAGTTAATAAAATAATTGAAAACTTACCTGGAAGTGGAATGGATAATGCTAAATAACTAAAAAGAAAAGAATTCATCGTTAATGAAAAATTTTAAACATGAAAAGTGAATCTTAATGACTTACATATACTCAATAATAGGATTATTTAATGTAACCACATCTGAATGCATTACAAAATATAATATTTTCGTAAATTCTATACAAATGATATTTTTCTGTTAAAAAAATTATATTTATTAAAGTTCTTCAAGTCTAGTTAAAAGTTCTTACCAAGAATAGGACATAGATATATCAACAAAACCAATGTTATACCAAATAAAACTCTCCCAAGCCATTTGAAAAACCGATTAAAGGATCCTTCTGCCATGATGTTCGTATTATCTTGCCCCTTCTTTTATGATATGTGAAATTTAACCAAAAAAAAAGTTCATATAACATCGTAAGTTCTTAAACAATCTTTGTTAAATTTTTGTCCAAGCCCGTTTTTCATGAATGTTGATTTGTTAAGCCACAGTTCAGCATCCTTTTGGATATATGCGCCATAGTTAAAGTCGAATTTTATTTTAGAGTTCGGAAAGAACATTAAGAGACCTGCATCTAGTATTAATTTGAATAATTCAATGGTTGGTCCATTACAAGAGCATTTATCATTATATCTATGTTTAAAACAATTCTTCATTCACGTTTCTTCGTATTCCTAAGAAAAACTACATATAAGATTGTATCTCTGTTATCTACAAATATTTACACTGGCTTTGCATACATTATAATTAAAAAACACGATTTAGGCTTTGTATTTTGGTTAGTTATGATAATTTATTTAAATTTATAGAAACACGACATCATGGTCACTGTGCGTTTCGAGGTTTAGTTTTCGGGAAGCAGTTTTATGAATTAAATAAATTTATACTTAAGATAACCCAGTATTACATTTAGAGAATTTATATAGCGTCTATTATAGGAGTACAGACATAGAGATCTCTCTATACCAGATATACAGCATTAATTGTTAATATACTTAATGAGATTATTTTCTAATGAATAATTTCGTTTACAGAAAAATATTGATAAAATACTAAAACTTTACAAAGAAATTTGCTAGGATGAAATTCCTCAATAATAGTACAATAATTTAAGCATTACTATATTTAGATGTTAGATAGTTTGCTAGAAAAATAATATTGAAATTTAAATTTATCAAATTTTAAAGTTTGTCACGTCAAAGTGAGTCATATGATCGTTTTATGCACCACGAACTAACCAATCAAAATGCTCTAAACTCAATAACTTTTTCAATAGTGTAGGAGGCACAGTAAAATTTTTGGGCATGCCCCCCGAGGCATGCCTCACTTATCGTGCCTCGGGGCATGCCCCTAGTATATAAATCATATTACAAGTTTACTTATTTTATGATATTGTACGAAATAAATGTTTACAATATAATAGATTTCGTTAAATAAATTCAGAGCTTTATTTTTTATTTAAATTGAAAATTTGTTAAGTATATTTATTTTTTTAGTTTAAAAAATAATGTCATCAATAGACCATTCCTCCTCAATATGTTCACTTAGTTCCATGTCAGCCAGGGATAAATCTTCATTAAGAGCTTCTTGATCTTTTTTAAGCGCCACAAAATCAAAAAATTCTTCCATAATATACAAATCATCCTCCTCCAATAAAATATCTAGTTCTTCGTCTGATTCTTCTAGTTCAATTAATTCCTCTACTTGTTGGTTGTCATCGTCAAATAAAATATCGATATTTTCATCATCATTGAATAAAGGTTCGGATATGGCTTTGTTTTTCTTATTAACTTTAGATGCATTTTTTTTGAGCTCATTTTTCAGTTGCCCAATTATTGATAGATTATCAGGTAGTAACTGATTTTTTATTTTTGATTTAACTAGATTCAGCATTGAAAAAAGTCGTTCACAGCTAGCACTGTGAGGAACAATAGCAAGGATTTTCATCGCAAAATGACACAAAAGGGCGCATTTCCTGTGAAATCAGCCCAAAATGACCGTAAAGACTGTGAAGGACTAGGAAGTGGAATATCAAATGGGGGATCATTATTTTTGTAATTAATTAATTCTTTATATAAAAGACCCGTATCTCTTTTGCTAAAGCCCCATACTTTAGCTAATTCAAGTAAGGTGCAAATAATTTTATCACCATTCATTTTTTTAAATATGGCGAGTTGTTTGAAGGTTGGTGAGAGAAACAGTGTAACAAAGTATATGTTGGAGTCAAACTCCTTTGCACATTGATTTATAATACCAAGGGCATGAGTTTTAAAATTATCTATAGGAACATCAAGTTGAGATATTTGCTGATGGATATTAACAAGCTCTTTAAAAACATCAGCTAACATAGAATCATTTGATTCTAGCCTACCAATAGCATCAACAACTGGCTTTAATACCTTCGCCAGTACATCATTAGTAGTGAAGTGATATTTGTCATGGATAATATTTTTGATAGCAATATTCTCAATCTTTGGGTATCTAAGATGTGAATTTTCACTTAATGAGAGGCAGTATTGGAAACCTTGTTCATAGGTTGATACCCTAATACAAACTTTAGTGAGTGAATACTATCTAGTTTCACAAAACATAGATAGAAAGTGCTTTATATTATGTTCTTTTTGCCAGTTTCTCAATTCTTTATTCCAGATATGTGATGAATTAAAAAAATTAACGAGCTTTTGGTTATTTTTACATACTGAAATAGTACTGGAGAAGCAAGCAATACCTTTAGCAATTAAGTTAAATATATGCAAACAACAACGAATAGAAATAATATTAGGGTATTCTTTCTAAAATTTTATAATATGTGTAAGTTTTATATATATATATATATATATATTTTTTTATAATGCCATAGTAGAAACTTTATTTATAAGATTAGAACATATGTTCAAAATTTTAAAGATTTTTAGCTACATTTATGTTACATATTTTTAAGGCACCCAATGTGATATTACACTTCCTATTTCCTAATTTATGCTATATTTAATTATTTCAAATTAGTTTTTAGCTAGAATAGGTTAGGGAGAACCTGAGGTATTAGTTCTGATATTATAAAGTACAAGTTGTTAGTGAGAAGTCTTGAAGAAACCATTTTTCAATTTCAGATCAGTAGTCTGTTATTAGAATAGAAGTTGTATTAGAGTTTGGTCTATCAGATATTATTGGAAAAGTAATTTTTGTGTGTTTGGTTTTTTTAGTAATATTTTGAGCAAGTTCCCACTGGTATTGGTAGTAGTTTCGTTGATTCCAAATATTATTGTAAAACCAAGTAAGTAAGTTGTTAGAAAGATTTGTAAGGAGAAGATCTGTTTGTTTTTGAATAATATTTTTAATATTAGTATATATTATAAGTGGGAAAGTGCCAATTATAGATGACAGTATATAGTAGTATTGGGATTTGAAGAGTTTAATATAAAGTGTAGAAGGATATTAAGAAGTATATGAGCAGAGATTGTTGAGATTTTAAGTGATGTTAGGGTATTATTAAATGTATTAATTAGTGATTGTTGAATATTTGAGGAGTTTTTAGAGCAGAGGAGAATGTGTATTGTATCTTCAGTAGTTAGGCATTGTATACAATTAGAAGTTGTATATAGGTAGAGATAGCGAATATTTAGATTTTGCATTGTAGGTAAATTATTTGTTAGAATTTTAATGCAGAATGTATATATTTGTGAGTTGTGTTCAAGTGAGTTTAGTATTTTAAACATTAAAGCCCATTTGATTTCTGTATTGTTTTGAAAGAATTTTAGTTAGGTTCAAGTTGAGAATTCACGAATTGTAATTGTAGATTTGATGAAAAATCGAATTTTAAATGGTATGAGATAGTAATTCTAAAGAAAATGAGTAGAGAGATTAAAAGGAAGAAGAGAGAGTTCAATGATAGGTTTAGAAGGGTTACACCACGATTCCCCGAAAGTTAGTTACCCGACATCTCACTTTTCTGACACTACATCTCCGACAGACTATTTCACCTACAGTCTATTTTCTTAACATAATATAACTCTGACAGGACATATTTACGACATAGCTTTTTCCTGTTAAGACATATTACTGACATTACCTTTTCACGACAAGACATATTACTGACATGATATTTTTCCAAAATGACATATTTACGATATTCCTTTCTCCGAAAAGAAGTTTCCCCGACAAGAAGTTTTTTTGAAAAGAAGTTTTCCTAACAAGAAGTTCTTCCGGCATGATGTTTCACAGACTTTTAAACACTTTATTTAATTCTATAGGAAATTTGAAACTGAGTGAAACTACCCGCAATGTGATTCTAGTTAGTGCAATACCAGAATTTTTGAGATAATTCATGGTTGAAAAATTTTTTTAATCGAATCAAATCCAAAATCTCTAATTTTGTGATGATTTAACGTGAGATTAAGAAAAATAAAATTTGAGCCAACCATTTATATGCGTGAATATTAAAAATAAAAGTGATCAATTGATCAAAATTTGTAAGCCCGATAATGAATTGCTTATAAATCGTTTGAGTTTTACTTATAAAATTTTGCATGTATGTATCTGGTTACTTTAATTTTTGTACATACCTAAATGTGATATAATTACTTATGAATTTTTGTACGTATATATGTATCTGGTTGTAACTTGACTACTTAAAAGATTTTTTTATATATACGTACCTGATTGTAACCTGATTACTTATAAATTTTTTGTTCGTATGTACCTAATTGTAACCTGATATAATTTGATCACCTTGTTATCACTAATTACTGTGTTTCAACAGGATATTTTCATCCATATGGAGGTAGCCAATATTAATTCTAACCAGGCCTTGATATCAGATATTAAATAAAACTGTCTCTTTTTATTATTCCGCTTTTCGATTACTGTAATCATCAGATGATCGTTCACTATGCAGAAATTTACAAAATTTCCTTAAATTTTTCATTTTTTACAAATTGCTATTTAAAAAATAACAATTCCACTTTTTGTTATAAATATTATATCTTGTGATGGTTAATCGGTTTGGAGTAAAAATCCCAAAAGTGAAATCCTGAAAGTTAATTGTCACTTTATGTGATGCAATATTCAAAGCCCGCGATGATTAGTAATCATAATAACAAAACATCAGCGGACTTTGAATATTGCATCACATAAAGTGATAATTAACTTTCGGGATTTTGACCCACAAACCGATTAATCAAGTGATAACAAAAATTCATATTTTTTTAAGTACTTTCTCACAAATTTTGAACGAAGATATACTATAATGTCGTTTCATTTTTAATATTCAAATTATTTTCGAATTCTGCAAATTAATAGGATTAGAAAATGATCTTAAACATTAAAAATGACTGGGCTGTTATTGAAATATCTTCGTTAAAATTCATAAGAACATAGGTAATATTAGAACTTCAATAGAAAAATTGTATATAAAAATTTATTATTTAATTTTTAGCCAATTACAAGCTGTATTTTATAATATTCTATAATGCATGAAATTTTGCTGATCACTATTGTTATACGTAGATAACGTTTTTTTTTATATACGTATATAGAATTTATTTTATTTATTTATTTATTTCTTTTACTATATATTTTTTTTTGTTTGGTTTTTACTTATCGGGACTTAGCTAAAAGCTTAAGGCGGAGTAACGCGTCTGGCGTCATACTCACGCCGTTGGCGTCTAACTAGCGCTAGTAGTGTCAATTGGGTGCTAAAGTGTCGATATGACACCAAACGCGTCCTTTAATTAACTAAAATGTATATAAACTCTGAAATTTTTACGTTAATAAAGGCAGATTTCGATCTTTAAAAATTTTATTCTCATGCGTCCCTCCTGCATTTATGCATAATAAATAAAATATCGATCTCTCAAACCCTTAATTAAATTTATTTCTTTTTGCTGAGTTTTGAGTTTATAGGCAGTATGCACATAGGGTGCCGAAGCGGGCCTATATTGATAGATTTTACGACCTGGCTTTAATTATTTTATGTTTAGTCTGTTAGTTTTATTATTATTCGATTTCTTTTAGTTTTTCCCATTCGTGCGCACTTCCGTTTTTCGTTACTTACGCAACTCGAACTTCGTTCCCCGTAACTATACTTCGTGCAACCCTCGATTTTGTTTCAACTCTGATTATTGATTATCCCGACTGACTCTCGACCCCTTTAAAGAACCCGAATTCCTTAAACTGATCATTCCCAGATCTAAATAAGAGAAATTTATTATTTAAACTCGATTAAATTATCACTTCGGAACCATACAACGCATAATAAACAAGACAATTATCGTATTAAGTTATCTACTGGAGCTAAACCAACTTCTTTGCTCTCCCAACCAGTAGTAACACTATAATTTAAAAAGAGCAATAATTAAAACCAAAATTATTCATATTATTTTTTTTAAAGATTAAAATATACATTGTACTCTATTATAAATTTAAAGTAGTATATAAAGTCACTTTAATAAAATATTTAAATTAATATACTATTATACTTTATAGTATGCATATTTTGTTTTATATGTTAACCAACTAATTAACTTTGAGAAACTCAAATTCAAATCTTTTGACAGCCTTGAACTGGAAGCTAATTCGTTATAATAGATTTTTCATTTTATTTTGTTTATTTTATTTTTCCCTCTCACCCCCTCTTGAGAGCTCTAAAAAGTGATGTTAACTAAAGAATTTTAACTTCAATCGGCCTTATATTCAAATAGAAACTCTCAACTTCATAGATGTAAAATAATTTTCTAATTATAGTCTCTTTTTTTCATTAATAAAATCGCTAGATTCGTGAATAGTATACAGTACTATTCAATTTTAAAATGGAGTTCTTGAATAAGACCCTCGGTACTGTAAAATTTATAAAATTTAGATTATCTTTTTTTAAATCGTAAAATACAAAAAAAAAAAAAAAAAAAAATTAAATTTATTCGCCTCATAACGATAATTCTAGATGTACCAATTTAGGCCACTTTTGGTTGATTTTTTAGGTTAATGTCAATATACAGGCATAAAGGGGAATAATTTTAAACAAATACATATAATGTCGCAGAGCATTTGATGAATATCATTGGCTAACTTAGTTCATGTTGATTGGCTTGTTTAATATTCGGGGAGACAGCTAACAGGCCGGAAGATGATGTTAACCTAAAAATCAACTTTAAACAGCCTTAGCGTTACTTAATTAAAGATACGCTATAATAAATTATAAGATGAAAAAATGAATTTTTATGAAAAAATATTAAAATATCAAAATTTGTGAAGAGTATAGATGAATCATTATTATAATTTTTGTCGCAGATGATCATTAAATCAAATGATGCTGAAATTTTTATTTATTTTATTATGAAATTTTAAAAAAAATTAGGGCTTTTTTTATAGCTATTTAAGGTTAGGGTTAGGGTTTAGGGATAGAGTTGTTAATAAAAGAGTATATATGGGTTTTAGTAGGCATTATAGATTTAAATAGAGACTCTAAAATTTCAGCATCATCTGATTTCATAATCATCCGTGACAATTTTTATCACTAATTCTTTATAGTTTGGCTCAAAAACTTCAAACTTATAAAGAAAATAGCAAGATCAGAAAATTAAAATTTAAAAGGTAAACTATTCAGACATAAATTACCAGATTTTAATTATTCACCATATAATTGAGAATTTATTTTATTTTCATGGAAAACTACTTGATAGACAGAAAATCAATTTATATTGACAAATTATTTTACAAAAAAATTATTTCACAAAAAAATTTATTTCATGAACAGATCATTTCATAGACAATTTTTTTTACCCTAAGTCTAAATCTGAACTCTAAACCCAACTCTAATCTTATAAAAAAAATTGTATATGAAATGAACTATCTATGAAATGAATTTTTCTATGAAATAATCTTTCTGTAAATTAATTTGTCTATAAAATGTAATGTCTGTGAATTGATTTTCTGTGAAATAAGTGCTAGCCGTAATGTGGTATTTCAATCTAATGTAACCAATTAAGCCATAATCTAAAATAAAGAAGTTTTGACCTTACTTTTCTGTGCAGTAATTCGATATACTATAAAAAGTACTCCGGAAAACAATATGTAGGCGACATAATTGTGTATCAAACCTGTTACGTAAATAATAGGTCCTAAACTCAAGTCTGATAAAAACTAGTTATCACTCTAGCTACTAAAATAAGTAAAATAATTAGAAGTTACTGAGAATAATAAAAAAATATGAACTCACTTATCCAGCAATCATAAAGGTTAATTCGGTTTATAATTAGAATTAACAGGTCATTGTCAGGGAAACAGTTGTCGGAGAAATGATACAAATTGCTAGCGACATAAATTTGTATTAAATCAGTTAAATAAGATATTCAAAGTCAAGTCTGATAGAAAACCAGTTATCAACTCCAGCATTAATAAATTTATTAAATCTAGTTATTTAACCCATGTGATAACTAAAATAGATGAGATAATCAAAAGCCAATATAATAGTAAAAAAATACAATCTCATTTCTCTAGCAATCGGGATTAACATGTTGATACAGGTTATGTGTCATTGTCAGAAAAATGATACAAATTGTAGTCGACATAAATTTGTATTAAACTGGTTAAAATAAGATGTTCTAAACTCAAGTCTGATAGAAAACTAGTTATTATTCTCGAATCCAGTTATTTACCAAGTGCTAACTAAAATAAGTAAAATAATCAAAAGCCAATATAATAATAATAATGATAATAAATATGAACTCATCTCTCTAGTAATCATCTCGACAATTAAGGTTAATTCATTTTTAGAATTGAGATATGTTGTTGTCGGGGAAATGATATAAATTGTAGGTAACATAAATTTGTATTAAACTGGTTAAATAAGATGTTCAAACTCAAGTCTGATAGAAAACTAGTTATCATTCTTGAATCTAGTTATTTACTCAAGCACTAACTAAAATAAGTAAAATAATCAAAAGCCAATATAATTATAAAAAAAATACGAACTCATCTCTCTAGTAATTATCTTGACAATTAAGGTAAGTTCATTTTTAGAATTGAGATGTGTCGTTGTCGGGGAAATAATACAAATTGTAGGCGATATAAATTTGGTTAAATAAGATATTCTAAACTCAAGTCTAATAGAAAACTAGTTATCATTCTTGAATCCAGTTATTTACCTAAGTGCTAACTAAAATAGATAAAATAATCAAAAGCCAATATAATTATAAAAAAAAATACGAACTCATCTCTCTAGTAATTATCTTGACAATTAAGGTAAGTTCATTTTTAGAATTGAGATGTGTCGTTGTCGGGGAAATAATACAAATTGTAGGCGATATAAATTTGGTTAAATAAGATATTCTAAACTCAAGTCTAATAGAAAACTAGTTATCATTCTTGAATCCAGTTATTTACCTAAGTGCTAACTAAAATAGATAAAATAATCAAAAGCCAATATAATTATAAAAAAAAATACGAACTCATCTCTCTAGTAATTATCTTGACAATTAAGGTTAATTCATTTTTAGAATTAAGATGTGTCATTGTCGGGGAATGATACAAATTGTAGATGACATAAATTTGTATTAAACTGGTTAAATAAGATGTTCTAAACTCAAGTCTGGTAGAAAACTACTTGAATCTAGTTATTTACTCAAATGCTAACTAAAATAGATAAAATAATTAAACATCAATATAGTAATAAAAAATACGAACTTATTTCTCTTCTCAACAATTAAGATTTGTTTAGTTTAGAATTGGAATTAACGTGTTGTTGGTTCAGGTTATGTGTCGTTGTCGGGGAAATGATACAAATCTAAGAAAAGGTGAATAATTTATTTAAAAAGAAATATATTATGGAATGGGCTGAGATATCATTCGTAAAGGTAAAAAATAATCTTAGAAGTTGCTTCGAATTCATAAGAAAAGTTAAAAAAAAGGTGTTTTAGTATAAAATTAGAAATAAAATAAAATTACTTTTATTGTATTGTCCAAAATCTTCTAAAGATAAAGAATTAGTCATCAATCAAAATGCAGATAAGACTGAATGATATTGAAATCTCTTTGTCAATCTAAAAATATAAAAAGAAGAGTTTTTGAATCAATAAAAAAATTATCGTATAGCGATAAGATACACTTTTCTTTATCTTAAAATAAAAATTTTTTATAAAGATCTTTTCATATTAAAGTAATTGCTTATCTCTTAAATCCTATAAACCTTGAACATTATTAAAGTTTGCTTATATAACGAAATAAATTTTTTTTATTGCAACCTGTTATTAATCATGAATCAGAATCGTGAAGTATGTGAAGTAGTTAATACTACACGTGGTAATCAAAAGCTTGTAATTCATGGATATTTATATGTAAAGGACAAGGATCGTAAAGATTCCTATTATTGGTGTTGTGAGTATAGGGATACTCGTTATTGTAATGGAAGGGTAGTCACAAAGTTAGAAGGCCAAGAACATATTTTAAAGAAAGTTAGCGGCAGGCATAATCACGCACCTGAAGCAGGTCATAGAGACGTAGTTCAAGCGCTAAATGACATAAAAGAGATGGCTTCTCAAACTCGTGATAAGCCATCTCAAATCATTCAAAATGTGACAATTAATATGCCTGAGGATTCTTTTTATTATATGCCTAATAACGAGGCATTACACAAACAAATTTCTCGTATTCGGAATAAAAATACTCCTTCACAACCACAATCATTACAGGAAATTAATGTTCCTATTCATTTGCAAACAACTATAAGAGGAGAAAGGTTTTTAGCTAAAGAAATAGATTTCAATAATGAAAAAATTATGATTTTTTGTACTAGTAATAATCTACTTTATCTTGAGGATGCAAATTATTGGATCATGGATAGGACATTCAAAACAGTACCAACGCTTTTCCAACAATTATATACTATCCATGCTCCAGTTGGAGGAGTAAATAATTCTCGAGTCTTTCCTTTAGTATATATTTTAATGACTAACCAGTTAGAGGATTCTTATAAAAAAGTATTTGAAGAATTAATAAACTTGAGTGAAGAAGCAGGTTATAATTTAAACCCACCTATAATTATTACTGATTTTGAACAATCAGTTATTAATGCTGTTCGGTTAAAGTTTCCTAATTCTATTCATAAAGGCTGTTTCTTTCATCTTTGCCAGAGTTTTTGGAGAAAAATTCAAAGTGAGCAGTTAGCTACTGAATATGGCAATAATGAAAGTTTTAGTCTTAAGTTGCGCCAACTAACAGCTCTTGCTTTTCTTCCTTCTTCGGAGATTTCAACTGCATTTGATGCTATTAAGTCTTCAATGCCTCCTAATACTACTGTAATTGTCAACTATTTTGAAAACAATTATGTTCATAGAAGGATCCGTCAGCAGCTCCGTAATGGAGTTGCAACTCGTATTGCACCTTTGTTCCCACCATCATTTTGGTCAGTACATGAATTAGTTGCAAATGGATTTCCTAGAACTCAAAACTTAATAGAAGGGTGGCATAATAGATAGAATAATATTATAGGAAGGGCACATGTAGGTACCTATTGTCAACCTTAGGATCCACCTCTTCAAGGATTCCTAGTGACTGCTGATTATAGCATGAAGACTATAATATTTTACAGCTTTAGATAGTTACAGGCGTCCAAGAAGGACTTAGCAAAGAGGATTTAGATGGTAAGGCAGTTGAAAGAGGCAACATGCTTAAATATGTATGAAGACATAAGTAAACATTCACACACTAAACATTAACTATCAATATA